GAATGTATTCCTAGCATGTGGATGATTTAGGTCAGTGTCGTGCTTGGTCCCAAGGGTACAGGCTGCCCCACCTGACACCACCGCACCAGAGGGTTTCCACTAACTGGAAGGCTTTTCAGCAAGCCAGAGTTTCTGTCCTGATTTCTTATGTTTAGGTTATTTCTTTTTAAAATCCAATCTGTCTTGCTCTGTCATGTCAGTCTTACTAGAAGTAGAACAAGTCCATACTAGGGAGAAATGTAAATGGTGCACTATATTTCTCCAAGTCTAACTGTACAGGCTCTTGGAAACTTCCCTAGCTTTAAAAAATCGGGGGAAAAGACTGGAGAAAAAGACAAGGTGGGGGCAGTTCCTGGGAATTGATGAGGTTTTGGCTTCCTTCTCCTGTACCAAAACCAAACCTTAAGTCACTTATGTCCCATGTGGACTGACAGCCTGAGCAAACACAAAAAAAGATGATATACCATGAGTGGTGGAAGAACTAAATCCAGGTTGCCATTACAGTAGTTTGCTTGTTTTCAACCTTTCAAGGCCTAAGGAAGCTTTCCTGGCAGAATGTATATAAGCAGTGCTGGCTGCTCCAGCAGGTGCCTGGCTGCATGCTACCACAGAGTGATGCAGAATGTCTATGGCCCTACCCAGATGGAGCAGGAACTGTAGTTCAGCCTCTACAAGGTTCCCTAGTCTTTCTGCTGTGTAACTAGTCTGTAGAGGTCTTCCTTGGACATGTGATGGTTAAAAAAGACTATGTATGAAACAGAGGAGAGTTATGGGTTTTTAATTTGATATTTTTCAGATGGCTGAGGTGGTACCCTTTTAAGAATGTCAACACTTTGGGAGTCCAAGGCGAGAGGACTGCTCGAGCCCAGAAGTTTGAGACCAGCCTATGCAACAGAGTGAGACCCCATCTCTACAAAAAATAAATTAAAAAATTAGCTGGGCATATGGTGCGGACCTATAGTCCCAGCTACTTGGGAGGCTGAGGTGGGAGGATAACTTGAGCCCAACAGATCCAGGGTGTAGTGAGCCATGATTGCACCTCTGCACTCCAGCCTGGGTGACAGAGCAAGACCCTATCTCCAAAAAAAAAGGAAAGAAAAAGAGTGTCAACAGAAAAGAGTTACCATATGCCCTTCTCTGCTACCTGCTCCACTTTTAGACCACTGAAGTACAAGTAAGATCAAAGCTAGAGCAAAGTCGTAAACTCCCAGGTCTAGAGAGACTTAGTTCCCTTCTCTAAATGATGTGAAATTCCTAATTTGCCAGATGGGCATGCCTAAGTAATTCCCAAGGACAGTAAATATACATAACTTGGTTAGAGGGGAAGAGAGGGTGAAAATGAAACAAAGTAGAACGGGCCAGGCATGGTGGCTCACGCCTGTAATCCCAGCATTTTGGGAGCCAAGGTAGGCGGATCACAAGGGTCAGGAGAGCGAGACCATTCTGGCCAACATGGTGAAACCCCGCCTCTACTAAAAATACAAAAATATTAGCTCAGTGTGGTGGCGAAAGCCTGTAGTCCCAGCTACTCGGGGGGCTGAGGCAGGAGAATTGCTTGAACCCAGGAGGCGGAGACTGCAGTGAGCCAAGATCGCACCACTGCACTCCAGCCTGGGTGACAGTGCGAGACTCTGTCTTGAAAAAAATAAAAAGAAAGAAACCAGGTAAAATGAAGGGAAAACTGTATCTTGGTGTAAAATTTTAATTCAAACAAGAATGCTGAAGATCATCACACAGACCTATTCTACACAGCAAAAGGACACAAAGCCAAGTTTACCTATCCATACTTCTAATAAACATCTAGTCAATATACGACACATCAACACAACTCATCCAACTATCATACATACCCCGTCACCTCTGATTCACGTTAACGCTCTCGATATCTAGGTCTTATAAGACTCTCTTCCTGTTTTACGTGTAAGGTAATTCAGCTCAGTTACCTAAAGTCATGGCAACATCAACTATTAAGGCTGAGCAGGTGTTAAAGCTCTTCTAATCTTAATTCTCTCATTTAAGACAGGGGGGTTATATGTCTTGTCTAATACACACATCTGTCCCATATGGGCTGACAAGGAGGGCTTTCTTAAGCCTAAGCAAACACAAAAGTGTCAGTGGCAAGACCAAAAGTGGAAATTTGAGTTCTGTACTCCCATTGAAGTGTCTCTTAGCCCTTGCTATCTTCCTGATGACTTTTTAAATCAAAAAGCTTTTTTTTTACTTGTACATTGTATAAGTAGGAAAATATTTATTTTGAATTGCTTTGACTGGCTTAAGATAGAATATTACATGCTGAATAAAAATATACTGTAATATATAGACCACAATGAATGAAAATACACCATAATATACAACGTGGTCTGTGTATCACAGTGTATTTTTATTCAGCATGCTAAAACCTATAAAGGGATTTATGATCCCTTCTAGGTCACAGGGATCATAGATTTGGGTCATTCACCACTAGAGGGCACTCAGATTTTCCCAGTTAGTTTACAGAGGCTTCCAACTCCAGTGTACAAAAAGAATTTTAACAATACAGAGACATTTCCTATCAATAGTAACAAGTAAATAGCCATATCCCCAGAAATATTAAGTGGATGCAAACATACTAGTTCTGGGCATTTATGTAAGTATATATATATACATTTAAAAATATAAATAAGGCCCGGCACGGTGGCTCACATCTGTAATCCCAGAACTTTGGAAGGCCAAGGCAGGTGGATCACCTGAGGGTCAGGCGTTTAAGACCAGCATTGCCAACATGGTGAAACCCTGTCTCTACAAAAAAAAAAAAAAAAAAAAAAGTTGAAGAAATTAGCCAGGAGGCTGAGGCAGGAGAATCACTTGAACCCAGGAAGTGAAGGCTGCAGTGAGCCGCAAGCATGCCACTCTACTCTGGCCTGGGTGACAGAGTGAGACTATATATATATATATATATAGTACATATGTGTATGTAGGTGTATTTTATATATGTTTATAGATAATATATATAAACATATATAAAATATAAAATATGTATATATATAATATATATAAAATACACCTACATACACACACACACACACACACACACACGCACACACACAAATTTTTTTTCTTTTTTTTTTCTTTTTTGACACAGAGTCTCACTCTGTTGCCCAGGCTGGAGTGCAGTGACATGGTCTCAGCTCACTGCAAGCTCTGCCTCCTGGGTTCAAGCAATTCTCCTGTCTCAGCCTCCCAAGTAGCTAATATTACAGGCACCCACCACCATACCTGGCTAATTTTGTATTTTTAGTAGAGACAGGGTTTCACCATGTTGGCCAGGCTGGTCTTGAACTCCTGACCCTCAGGTGATCCACCTGCCTCGGCCTCCCAAAATGCTGGGATTATAGGCATGAACCACTGCACCCAGCCTTAAAATTTTTTTTGGAGATAGAGTGCCACTCTGTCACCCAGGCTGGAGTGCAGTGGCATGATCTCAGCTTACTGTAACCTCTGCCTCCTGGGTTGAAGGGATTCTTGTGCCTTAGCCTCCCAAGTAGCTGGGACTACAGGTGCGTGCCACCACGCCTGGCTAACTTTTGCATTTTTAGTAGAGATGGAATTTTGCCATGTTGGCCAGGCTGGTCTGGAACTCCTGATCTTATGTGATCCACCTGCCTTGGCCTCCCAAAGTGTTTGAATTACAGGTATGAGCCACTGTGCCCAGCCACATACATACACACATGCCCACGCGCACACACACACACACACATATAATACACCTATATATACACACACACACACACACATATAAAAATTGGATACTACACCCAGAACTAGGTTTGCATCCACTTAATATTTTAATGCTTCTGGCAAAATGTGAAAAATAGCTGTTTGTGCATGTACACACACATACAAATACATGCATGTATAAATACATATAAATATATTATAATTCATATGTATTTGTTTTATTCTAAGGATATTATTATATATATATTAGTAAACATTTGTTATGATTAATTTACTATTTTAGATTCAAGCCCTGATGTGTTCTTAAAGGACTCAGTGGTAGGTAGATTTTTGAAGTAAATAATTAGCTTAAAAGTTAACCTGCCTCCCAAACACTCACACAAAGTCCAGAGGGCTCCTGCCAAAATCTGTGAGCCTGCAGTATTCTAAGCAAATCATGCTTGTTTTAGGGTCCTTGGACATTGTGTTTTAAATGACATAGAAGAAAAGGAGAAAAGGAGAACTTTCTCTGCTATCAGGGAAATGAATGCAAGCCAGGCAATTTCTTTAACTTTCCAGTTTATCAATACTGTAGGCCTTACCCAGTCACTAGGGCATTTCTAGAGATTTACACCTGGAACCCTAGAAATTCAGTTTCTGTAGGAGGACTAAACACTTTTTTGACTGTGTTATTTAAATTTTGAAAAAGCCCATTCTGTATGCTTACAGGAAATTAAATTAATAAGCAATAGTTATTAACTGCTATGATAGCACTGTCCTGCCTGGAAAAAAAAAATCTTAAGAATCGTCTTGTTGGGTACAGTGGCTCACGCCTATAATCCCAGCACTTTGGGAGTCCAAGGTGGGTGGATCACCTGAGGTTAGGAGTTTGATACCAGCCCGGCCAACATGGTGATATCTCATCTCTACTAAAAATACAAAAATTAGCTAGGCGTGGTAGCAGGTGCCTGTAATCCCAGCCACTTGGGAAGCTGAGGCAGGAGAATCGTTTGAACTCAGGAGGCGGAGGTTGCAGTAAGCCGAGATCTCACCATTGCACTCCAGCCTGGGCAACAAGAGCAAAACTCCATCACACACATACACAAAATCATCTTGTTGAAGAAGGGTGATGAGGTGGGGGAGGCATTCTGCAGAACACCTGTACCTCCGACTGTCTTGTCATAGTTGTTGGTGATAAACACTCTGGATTCTGCTGAATAGTTTTCCTGCCCTATAGCACTTACCTCATAAGTACTAGAATGTGCTTGTCAAGTACTGTGGAAAACGGTATTGAAAAAGGATACATCTAATTCACTCTGAAAAAGAGAAAAAGAGTGCAAGGGTGAGAACAAAGACACTGGGACCCGTTGTTCTTAGCAGAGTCAGAATGAGGAGACTTCTGCATCCATAGCAGTGACATCTCCTACCTGCTTCTTGGCTTGGAGGCCACAGCAGTCTGACTCTGCAAAGGCCCCGAGTTTGGGACTGTAATTTTTTTGAAATTGGCTGTAGTTCAAAGGAATTTTACAAGCCAGTACGATTCATCGTTAGAAAGCAGAGAGAAAAATAAACTAACTCAATCATTACAAATGTAGGTAATCTGATGTGTGAATCGGAGACCTTAACAATGTGCCACACCCTTTCAATCCACTGATGTTACTTCTGGGAGTTTATCCTAAGGAAAAAATTAGACAATGGCACAATGATATATGACAGGATATTCAGGGTAATGGTGTTTGTAATAGCAAATTATTGATAATAACCTAAGTATCTATCAATGGGGGGACTAATTAAGCAAACCATAGCATATCCACAAATGACGATGTAGACATATAAGTACTCACATATTGTTAAATAAAAAAGAAAGTTATGAAATGCATACATAGTATTATCCTTTTTTTTTTTTTTTTTCTCTTGAGGCAGAGTCTTGTTCTGTTGCCAGGCACCAGGCTGGAGTGTAACAGAAATAGAGCAATCTTGGCTTACTTCAACCACCGCCTCCAGGGTTCAAGCAATTCTCCTACCTCAGCCTCCCGAGTAGCTGAGACTACAAGTGCGTACCACCACGCTCAGCTAATTTTTATATTTTTTAGTACAGACGGGGTTTCACCACGTTGGCCAGGATGGTCTTGATCTCTTGACCTTGTGATCCGCCCGCCTCAGCCTCCCAAATTGCTGGGATTACAGGCGTGAGCCACTGTGCCCAGCCATAGTATTATCCTATATATGTATGTATAAAGGTCAAGATACATATGATTATATAGCTACAAATAGAGAAAGTCTAAAAGGAAATGCACCTAACAGCAGTTAGCAGTAACTGATGAGCTTACTGACGATCTTCTCCCTTAAAAAAATTATTTTATTTTATTTATTTATTTTGAGACAGTCTATTTATTTTGAGACAGTCTGTCACCCAGGCTGGAGTGCAGCGGCATGATCTTGGTTCACTGCAACCTCTGCTTCCTGGGTTCAAGCCTCCCAAGTATTTGGGACTAGAGGTGTGCACTACCACACCCAGCTAATTTTTGTATTTTTTGTAGTGACAAGGTTTTGCCATGTTGTCCAGGCTGGTCTTGAACTCCTAAGCTCAAGCGACCCACCTGCCTTGGCCTCCCAAAGTGATGGGATTACAGGTGTGAGCCATCATCCCTGGCCAAAAAATACATTACTTTTTTTAGAGCAGTTTTAGGTTGACAGCAAAACTGAGGGGGAGATATGCAGACATCCCATGCCCCCTGCCTCTCTGTGCAGCCTCCTTCCATGATCAGCATCCCCCACCACAGTGGTACATTTGTTAAAATGGACAAACCTATATCATTCTCACCCAAAGTCCATCGTTTACAATAGGGTTCACTCTATTAGGGTGTTGTATATTATATGGGTTTAGACAAATGTATAATTACATGTATTCACTTTCCTCTTTCTCTTTGCACACACACACACACATACACTCACACACACACACATATCTATATCTATATCTATATCTATATCTATATCTATATCTATATCTATCTGTCTATCTAGAGAGAGACAGAGAGAGAGAGACAGGGTCTCACTCTTTCGCCAGGCACCAGGCTGGAGTGCAGTGGCAAGATCTCGGCTCACTGCAACCTCCGCCTCCCAGCTTCAAGCAATTCTCCTGCCTCAGCCTCCCGAGTAGGTAGGACTACAGGCATGAGCCAACACACCCAGCTAACTTTTTTTGTATTTTAGTAGAGATGGGGTTTCACTATGTTGGCCAGGATGGTCTCAAACTCTTGACCTGTGATCTGCCCACCTTGGCCGCCCAAAGTGCTGGGATTACAGGCGTGAGCCACGGTGCCCAGCCTGCTTATATGTTTAAATTTTTTTTTAATAAAATAGATATTTATGTAATGAAAAAAGCATGGAGGAAGAAAAAAGTAGAGAATTAATTTAAAATATGAAAGGACTTAAGGTTTGTCAAATCAGCACCAAAAAATCCCTGATACCACTTCTTCAACAGCAGCAACCCTCACCCTCCTTTGAAGCTAACTGGATTGGCTTTTTGTTTTAAAAATGTGATGCTGAGACGCTTCTCTCAGCCCCAGGCAGCATGAGACTGATCTCCAAATTTAAGATTTGGAAATTCTAGAAGAGTAAAAATAGCCACAGAAAGAATGTTTAAAACTCACAAACCTAAAAATAAATCTAGATGACAAGGCCTTCTCTGTGAGGGGACAGATCCTATTTCTTTCCCATAGTGTTCTTTTCCCTCTTCCTTTTCTTCTTTTTGCTATGGTTTGATACTAAGCCAAGTCATCCCTTGGTACCATCCAAGTCCTGCAAAATCACCTGGCTGAAATTAAATTCAAATCTTTACTTTTGTGGTTTATGTGGTCACTGACTCTCCCTAAAATTATAACTATAATTCAGCAATGTGCTATTTATTCTCAGTTACTGAATATAATAATAATAATTGTAAAAACCCTAGCAATGATGGTACTTGTACCCACTTTTATTCTCCTAGGTTTAGAACATTATTATTTTGGGAAATTATATTAGTCTTCAAGGGTGTCACCTCGAAATGGCTAATTATGGTCAGCTCTGATCACAGACCCTGACTTGCAACCAGTCCGTCTAAACAAGAGAGGTGTCATCACAAGGTAAGCAGAAGCTAGAGCTACACTGTCCAATATGGTAAACACCAGCCTCGTGTGGAGATTTACATTAAGTAAAATTAAAACTTCATTTCCTCAGTTATACTAACTGCATTTCAAGTGCTCAAGAGCCACAACTGGCTAATACCTACTGTATTGGATGGCACAGGTACAGAACATTCCTATCTCTGCAGAAAGTTTTACTGAAAAGTGCTGGTCTATGGTGCTGTTGCCAAGCAATCAACAGAGATAGATTTTAAAGCCCATCTCTATGTCCCCTGTGTAGGCCGGTCTTTGGAATAAAACCCCGTCATTTGCAGAAACATGTATGGAACTGAAGGTCATTATGTTAAGTGAAATAAGCCAGGCATAGAAAGACAAATATCACATGTTCTCATTCATGTGGAAACTAAAAAAGTAGATCTCATGAAGATAAGACAGTAAATTGGTGGTCACCAAAAGCTGGGAAAGGAAGAGGAAAAGAGGAAATGAAGAGAGGTAGATTAATGGGTACAAATATGGAATTAGATAGAAGAAATAAGACCTAGTATTTGATAAATCAGTAGGGTAACTATGGTTAACAATAATCTATTGTATATTTCCAAATAGCTAAGAGAATAATTCAAATGTTCCTAGCATAAAGAAAATACAAATATTCAGCCAGGCACGGTGATTCATGACTGTAATTGCAGCACTTCAGGAGGCCGAGGCAGGTGGATCACCTGAGGTCAAGAGTTCAAGACCAGCCTGGCAAACAAGGTGAAACCCCGTCTATACGAAAATTAGCCAGGTGTGGGGGCATGAGCCTGTAATCCCAGTTACTTGGGAGGCTGAGGTATGAGAATTGCTTGAACCCAGGAGGCAGAGGTTGCAGTGGGCTGAGATTGTGCCTTTGCACTCCAGCCTGGGCAACAGAGTGAGACTTTGTCTCAAAAAAAA